TTCGAAGCATATAAAGTTTAAATGCAAAAGTATATAGGAGACCCTTGTGATTTGCAGAATTGCTATTCACAATCTCTCCCGTTCCTCAGCCCTGTCCCTTCCTGCCACCGCCCTGCCCTGTTTCCCTATTGCACCCCACCCCCCCCAGAGTGGGGGGGGACTGTGGCATTGGCGGGGAGGGCTGTTGCGGGGAGGCAGCAGCAGTTAGGACCCTCCTTCCACATTCACTGTCATGTGTGGGAGCTGTGGGGAGCTCCCTCTGGGGCCAAGAGCCCACAGTGAGCTCCCCACAGCTCCTGGCCCTGCAGTGAACCACCCATGACTTCCGGCCTCCTCAGTCAGCTTCCCGTAGCTTCTGGCCACTGCAGAGAGGGGCCCTGAACACAATGATGGGAGCTGCAGGGAGTTCACAGTGGTGCCAGGAGCCATGGGGAACTCACTGCGGCAACGAGGAGCCACGGGAGCTCACCATAGTGGCTGGGAGCCACAGGGAAATGGAGCACTCTCTCCACTTCCTCCACCCCCCACTAGTTGTGGATTTTGCCATTCACAGAGGTTTTAGGAATACAGCCACTGCAAATGGCAAGGGTTATTGTAGTGTACTTTTCCAAGCCTCATACTGTTTGATGGTGCTTGTTTTGAATTGGAGGTTTGGGGAACAGAATCTCATTTCAGACATTACAATATATTCTGTTATAAAGCACCTATTATGCAAATGTTTGAACCAAAAAACCCAGTTTCTGAACCCTCATAAAACATAGAGGGTTGCACATGGATGGTTTTCACAAGTAGCCCTGGACCATGGGAATGGGAACAGGGCAGCATGCCTACCATGCAGCTTCTTTCATCTATCATTAACACATTTGAAACAATGTTCTATTAGACCCTGATCCTCTAGCTTTAGGAACAAATTAGGCCCTTTCTAATTCTTCTTTTAGTAATGCAATAATCATTTAAATCAAAATTTCAGCTCCAAATTCCCTAGCCTTGGCAGTGACATGGACATCTATCCCTATTTCAGGTCCATTTCCCAGATGGGGGAGCCTTAATTGGATTACAGATATCACAATGGACATTCTAATTAGCTGGAGAAGGGCCTTTATATATACACAGTACTACTTGTATGCTCAATTGCTCCCTAACTTACAGGCCCATATTTGAAAATAGGGCTGAGTCTAGTAAGCTTACAAGATTGAAGGCCTGACTCAAAGCTCACTGACCTTCTCCCAGAAGACTACCAAAGTCTTTGGATCACAGACCCTTTATAACTGCAAACCCCATACTGGGAAAAGTTCAGTACTCTCACTTATCCTCTGCACTATCACCAGAAACAGTGCTGTTGCTCCTGCCAGTAACTGGGAGATAGTTCAGTGCTCTACACTATCCTGTGCACTAAGGGATGATTAAGACAAATAGATTTAATTCATTTCAGCACTTCCATGTAGCAATGCTGCATAAAGTATTTTATGACTCGTGCTTCATCTTGTTTGACTGCACATCTGTACATTTTCTGGCAAAAGATCCAAGCTGGTAGTATTGCTGAGACAGGCAAGATTAGCTCGGTTAAAATCTGGATAGATTTTTGCCAATTGCCAAAGGGTTAAAGTGAAAGAGAAAAGGGGGATTTGCAAAATAAATATTCTTGTAACTACATCTCTCCTTCATTCATACCCAATTTCTAAAGGACTAAAAGCACATTCTTTGATATGGAACTAAACCTCAAATTAAAAGGAATGATGGCAGTGGTGATGGAGAGAATAAAAAAAGAACAGGAAACAGAAGGAAATGCTGGATGTTAAAAGGAAAGAG